AGAAGCTACACTCGAGACATTCTAACGGCGTGCCAGTTCAAAAGCATTTGCATTATTGATATTTGAAGACGCCTACTCTTTTGTTCTTATACTGTTTCCAGTTAAAAGTTTGCCATTTAGTTGCCTAAAATTCTCTGTATTTATATAAATAAAGAGATGTGTTTCCTTGTTCGTTTCCCTTTTGTAAGCATCTTATTTTGAAAGGTTAAAACATATAGCTTAACTTGAAATACATGAGATCATTTTGTATTATTGTGCAAAAGGTTTTGGAAAATACAGGTATTCTGAAGTTGAAAATGGTTTAAACATGTAAGCTTGTGTGGCTACGGGAAGCTAAAACCTTGGAATTCATAGAAAATCTCAGCCATGATAAGAAGACCCAAAGAGATTGTCATTGATCAAGAAGTTGGTCATGGGCACTGGCGGGTTTTAAGAAAGGAAAGAGTCAAGGTTCTGTTAAGCCGAGAGGTACGGAATTGAGATTGTTAACTGGGGTGAATTGGTCAAATGTTTTGTACCCAAGATGAAACTGAGTTCCATCGAGATCAAAAGGAGATAGAGTTCCTTCGAAGAAGAAAACGCATTGAATTGCATGATTGCATACATTATAGGCATGAATAGGATCATGACATTCATAATTACATGATGACTTAAATATCTACAGGTTTCCCAGGGATAGTTGAAGATTGAAGATATGGAAACATCAAGATGAGGATAATTAGTTTTGGAATTTTGAAAAGAATGATGTTTAGATGACGATTGAGCCAAAGTAGATCCGCATATCCAATGGATTTTCAGAAATTTTCTCAAATTCTAAATTTTTTAGTATAATATTTTTCAAACATATATTAATGATTCGTAATGTTTGATTTTTTAGGTTTGACCTTCGAAATAGTTCAATCTTAAGCCTTCACGGAAGAGTAGTGAAGCAAGTCAATCTTAAGCCTTCACGGAAGAGTAGTGAAGCAAACTTATTTTATGAAGATCGAGTCCTATACTCTCTGAAGGAATAGGGAGCAGACACGTTTGTTGAAGATCGAGTTCTATACTCTCTGAAGGAATAGAGAGCGGACACGTTTTATGAAGATTGTTCGGGTTCTATACTCCCTGAACGAATAGGGAGCATACACGTTTGTTGAAGATTGTTCGAGTCCTATACTCTCTGAAGGAATAGGGAGCAGACACGTTTATTGAAAATCGAGTCTTATACTCTATGAAGGAATAGGGAGCGGACCCGGTTGTTGAAGATTATTCGAGTACTATACTCCCTGAACGAATAGGGAGCAGACACGTTTATTGAAGATTGTTTGAGTCTTATACTCCCTGAATGAATAGGGAGCAGACACGTTTGCCAAGGATTGTTCGAGTCTTATACTCCTTGAAAGAAAAGGGAGCAGACCCGTTATTTGAAGATTTTTCAAGTATCACTTCTCTTGAAGTAACAGTGGAATGGTTTAATCTTTTGAAGTTCTCATGACCGGACAAACTCGATCATCTTTTGATCTTTGCTCTGTTCTCGTTACACGACAATGAGCAAAGAGGGGCAGCTGTAGATGCTCGTTTTTATCCGAGTCTAGGTCGGAGCAGGCCCGAAGGAAACCAATTACAGGCCCCATTCAAGCCCAATGGACAGCAGATATATGCACAAGAAGAGAGCAGTTTGAGGGTCGATTTTTAGCAGTTTTGGTTTTTAGGAAATAACCACCCATCATCAGTAAAAGGAGATTAACCACGGGAAGTTAGCTAGAGAGGGGAAAACTAAAAAAACTACTAGACATTCACAGAAAAATTACAGAGAAAGAACGGGGAAAAAGGAGAACAACTTGTAAAATTGTTGGTTCACCATTTTGAAAGCAATAAAAAAGGAAACATTTTTTCTCCTGATTTTCACTCTCACAATTGCAAGGATATTAATCATTTACAAAAGGGCAGTAGCATTATCTCAAGTAAAAACAACAAAAAAACAGCAAACATTAATAAGGAGGTATTTCATCTTATTTTGTTTATTTTTAGTAACTATTCGTATATGTGGTATTTATTTAGGAAGAAAATAAAGGTTAGAAGATTACCTATTTGAGTCACCTGAATCAAAACCGGAGTGTTGAGAGTTGCTCGAGAAACCTTGTGCATGAGTTAGGGTTAGTTTTTATGTTGGTGTTTTTTAAAATAAAAAGAGTAAGAGTAGAAAGAGAGACCATTTACCTTAGAGAGGAACTTCTAGCCGGAGAGGAGGAAGACTAGGAACGGTCTTAGGCGATTGGGTCTGTTTTGGTTGTTTTGGGGTTTGATTCGAGATTAAGAGGGAAATAGATGGTTTTTAGGTCGACTTGGGTGTCGGTTTAGCCATTTTCAGTTGTGCTAAGTGGTGGCCGGTGGAGACTAAGGCTTTTGGAGTCTCGGCTGTGGGAGAAGAAGGAAGCTATAGTGAGGTTTTAGGCTCGGTTTAGGGGTGAGAATGAGAGAGATGAGAGAGTAGAAGAGAAACGGCGATGGTGGTTCAAGGAGAGAAGCGGAGCTGGGGACCGGTTTAACATAAATGAGAATAGGGTTTAAGGTGCTCAGAATATTACACAAATATTAGATCTTCAAAACGGAAACACTTTGAGAATGGCCGATTTGTGTGGGTTATTCAACACTTGGGTCATTTGAACTTTCAGTTTCATGCATTTTAATCCTTAAATCGTTGTGTTTGTGTTTCTAATTTTGTCTCTGTGTTCTATCCGAATTTAATGTTAGTCCTTAATATGAATGTATTTAAATATTTATTGTTTAGACATTTCACTTTTAACTTTTCCATGTTTCGTTTCAGTCCCTAGGTCGAAGTTTACATGTTTCTAATTCTGTCTATTTATTTTATATTCATTTAATTTTCATCCTAAATGTTGATGTTTTAATTTCCGTTGTTTAGATATTAGACTTTAAAGTTTTTACATGTTTCATTTTAGTCCATGTTTAAGTTTCTTATGTGTATGTATGTATGATTAGTTAGGATTCGTTTAGGGTGTATGCTTATCCTAGGTTTGAATGATGGTGATATGTGCGCATATGTAATTATGTGGTTCATAAACATGGATTTAGATGTAATATATCCTTTTATTTTTGCATGACATCGTTTTTGCATAATGTATGATACCCTCATGTGCATAATTCGACCATACGACATAATTGGATTAAGGGTAATATATTTTTTATTTTAAAATTGTTTCAAGTGGGCAGTCATAACTGATTTGAGGTCTGCTTTTAATGATTTTAAAATAAAAGTGTATCCCGAAAGTGAAACCAAAAATTGATTCGTCACCTAAAATTTGGGAACGAAAGAAAAGGAAATGTTCGTTTATTTAAATTTATCGAGAAAAGGTTGTTATAACTTTTAAGATCTGGTCTCGACATTTGTAAATAATCGAACATTCTTTATCTTTCTAAAACGACTCGGTAATTTTAATTTAATTTATTTGAGTGCTTTTGAATGTTTTAAATTTACATTTTTATTTTTATTTTATGGGATCAAAAATTAAATTAAATTCGAATTTGTAAAGTTCATTACAAAGAGGTTAATTAATCTACTAGGTACCGATTTAGGGCGCTGTGGGGTGCTAATCCTTCCCCGCACGTAACCGACTCCCGAACTCGGATTTTGGTAACGCATACCTCAATTTATTATTTTAATTAAAATTAATTTTTATTTAAAATGACAAAGTATTTTTGGGTGCCCAATCACACCTTAATCAAAGATTGGTGGCGACTCTTCGAACCGTATTTTTCGATCGTAAAGGAAATTCAAAATTTTTCGAAACGAGAGGTCTTTTAAATCGCTTATATTTTTAAAATAAAAAGAGACAATTAAGAATTAATGTGATTTTCAAAATCTCACCTTTATATCACATTTTGAGGAAAAAATCGTTTCGTCACATGGAGCATAATGAAAATTTGCGGTCTGGTCACAATCCACTGACTGTCCAAATGCAGATAACACAGTTGTTTATGGCCTTGTTATCCTCAAATGTCTTTTGTTCGATTATCTTGCCGTGTTTTCTCCATTTAACTCAAAAGATCTCTCACTGAGTTAAAGAAAGTGTTGTTTCTTTGTGAAAAAAGGAATGATCGAGGACTAATGACTTTCATGTTCAGGTTACACACCTGGAAAATCAAACAAATGGGATCCATAGATTTCATGTTTAGCCTTTAATTTTCCTTCTTTTTAATTATTAATCTGAGGTAAGTACAAGATAATATATGTTCCAAGATAATTCTCAACCATTTAACATTGATCGCTCGTACCCTTGGCATTGCGGGGTTTGTGATTAATATATGTATATTTTTTGATAATCTGGGTAAGTACAAGATAGTACCTCAAGGAATAACAATAATTCTTTTACTATCTAGGTTAATGGGATCATGATTAATATTTTTTTTATAATTTGTGGTAAGTATAAGGTAATATATGTTCAAAGATAACTCTTAACCATTTGACATTGAACGTTCGTACCCCTGACATTTCTGGTGCTCAAATCCGAAACCTCAAAAAATAACAACAATTCTTTTACCACTGAGGTCACTAAGTTTTGTGCGTGATTAATCTTAAATATATGATTTGCATATTATTTTTATTAAAGTATAATAAAAATTTGATTTGTCCCATATTAACAAAAAAAAAAAAATACATGATCCAAGAATAGGAAGACCAGTTACTTATGGAGACACTTATTTTCTAAGGAGCCTCAAATTCTTAAAATGTATAATATCTCATAATGATTCATGAATGTAGCTCAATCATCAATGATGCATGTATTGTATAAACACCAGTTCAATGGAAGGAACAGGGGAACACTTATATAAACAACAATATTAGGACGTAATAACGTTCTAGTACCTCTACCTTTCCTATTGATTTTCTGTTCATATAATGCTTTAATTTCGTTTGCAAAAACCTCCCTGGAAAGGACTCCTCAACCATGAAAACTATAGATTTCAATCCGCAACCCTAGAAAATGCGGGACAAGCCATAGGAATCGCAGTGGAAAGATCACATATGGGTAACAGGCAATTGGCGAGTAAAGCGCTGCTTGTTGCTGTGAAATAACCTTCCCAATAATGTGGTGGAGGGATACTGTTAACTGCTTCGATATCGATCTCGAATAACTCCTCGTCTTCTTCTTCGCCTTCATACTTCATCTGGGAAATTTCTTGTTTGATTACAGAAGAAGCCATTGGAAACGTTTGAGTTTTTTGTGAAAGTTTTTGGAGTATGCATTTGCTTAAAATATGTGGAGGTTTTTTGGTTAGTAGTGGAGTTGAGGGAAGGTGGTAAGTAGAACGCTCTCCAACAAATTCACGACAAATTTTGGTCAAAACAAAGCCACTAAATCAAACATTAATTTTGGACTCTTTAAAATCTCATTTCCGTACATAATCTTTCTTTTAATGAATTACTTGTAATCAACCATAAGTGGTATAAATGAATACTAATATCCATAAAAGTTATTAGTTCGAGGAACGACATCTATAGAATATGTATGTTTATCTTATAATCACCCCAATTATTAAAAAACTGTTTTTATAATATATTCTAATTATGTGTTTAAGCACAAACCAAGTGACCTTCATGGTAAAGGAATTATTGATATTCCTTGAGGACCTAGGTTCGAGCACCATAGAAGCCAGGGGGTGAGAGTTCAATGTTGAGAGATTGAGAGTTATCTTTGTACATATATTGCCTTGTACTTACCCCATATTAATAAAAATAATAATTATTTGTTTAATAATATAATTAAAAAGGTCTTGAGGTCACCAATAAAATTAGTTCAAGTGGTAAGCAGTTTGATATTATTTAAGTAGTTCTAGAGTTCGAGGCCTTGTGTATGCATAAAATCTCCGCTATGAAACTCACCTATCAAAGTCAGGTGAACGCTAGGATCAATCCGGATCAATTAATACAAAATCATAGAGAACCGAAAGACAACAAAAAAGAAGTCTTAGGATCGAGATCCATTAATTGGATTGAGTGATTAAGAATGTTCATATAATACTATTGTAATAAATAAATAAAATCTTGAGGTCAACTAGAGTTATGGGTTGTTAACCAAACTCTTGTTAACTTGATACGAAATACATGCAATGCATACCAGATACTTGTTAATTAATAAAAATTGTCTTTCCTTAACAAATTAGTTTTCAGTAACTTGGAATGTATCTCATGCTAGAGGGTTAGTTAGGACAATGAGAGAACAAAGAGATCTGTTGACCCCCGTTTTATTGGATCAAAAGCATTACAATACTAAAAAAAACAAAGGAGGATGGTGGGATTTGGATTTTTGCAAAGGTGTCATTGAGCTATCCCAAAACTAAACCTATATGTTGTTCTCCTTATATACTTACAACCAAAATTTTAAGCGGTGCCAATGATGAAAGGGAAAATTGTTTTCACTAAAGGATATGAATTCAAACAATTGTATATGTAGAATATGTGTATGTTGTCAATAGACTAAATTTTTTTTTTAAATATATATTATCTTGTAATCATTCTAGACTACAGTTTATGGTCAATTACACTAGTGATGAAGGTTGATTTTTTTGTTTTAGTTAAAAATTATCTTATATCTTCATTAAAATATAAAAATATTTGTATAAAATAATTTTTATATTTTTTAAAAAACGTTAAAGAAATTAAATTATTTAGGATTTAATTCACCTAAAAAAGTCATGGGCTTGAGAAGTAGACCCAACTACTCCTACACAACACAGCACAAGATATTGACCCATTTCTAGCAGAGGGAAAACAATTAGAGTCTTAAACAATCCAAATTGTCTCAACGACCATTCCAGAAACAACATTTTCTATGCTTAATTCGATGGTAGTTGTACTTATATCTATGACGAAAATTAGACAAAAAACCGATTAACTACAAATTTTATTTTCTCTAATATTAGATTTAATGTCCCAATCATATGGGCTAACTAACGAAATGAATAATTATGTATATAAAAATGTGATTTCAGAATTCGTGTACAAATGCCAAGGAATTGGTAGTTTCTCCAACAAAACAAATCCCAGTGGCTAATACTGTTAGTAACTTCTATGTACTTGTAGATGTTTTAAGGATTAACTGAATCATGCAATATTATATTATTAATATAAACATTGGAAAAATAAAAAAATTGTAAGAATTATAAAAAAAGGTTTAATTGGAAAAATAAAAATTAGTGTTTTAAGTCCAATAAAAAATTATTTAGACAAATAAACTAAAATTTACAATAAAATGTAAAATTGTACTCAGATGAATAAAATTTTATCTAAGTTGTCAAAGTTTATAGATATATTTTGAATATTGGAATAGATTAACACAAAAGTTTAGATATTTACCAGGTAAAATCTTACTATTGAATACATTAATCACACTATTTTTCTTAATCGGATGATAGTCAATTACGAGATCTACATATTTATGAGGTTCTATACAATGTATGCTAGAGGTTAAAAAATATAGTAATAAAAGTGTTGAAAGTATTGTTAAAATGATTTTTAAGTTTGGCAACCAACTTTGAAAAAATGGTTTTCAAAGTTTGGTAAATGTTTATTTGAAAATGGTTTTCAAAGTTTGGTAAATGTTTATGTGAAAAATAGTTTTTCAAAGTTTGGTAGATGTTTGTTGAAAAATGATAATAGAATAATCACAATTAATCCCTATGCTTTAGGGTATTTACAAGATTAAGTCCTTAGTTTCAACTATAAATACCCTAGCTCATTTAGCTTCAAAATCATGCCAAAAAATCATTTCTTTCTCCATATACTAGAGAGCTTTCTTGTGAGTAGTGAGTGTTTTGTAAACACCTGTAAATTTTCTCTCTTAGTAAAAGATCTGCAGTAGTCCGGAGACGTAAGCAAATTGGCTGAACTACGTTATCAATTTCGGATATTATTTTTCTGCTTTTATTTCGCATTCTCATTAATCTGGTTATAGGGAAATTACTTGTACTAGTTTATTTCCCAACAACTGGTATCAGAGCTTTTGGTTGTAAATTTTGTCAATTTTTTTGCGATGTTACTATTTATTACTATTCATGTGAATAGTAAATTTCGTGAATAGTAAAATTTTGTCGGAGATACGAATTTGTCGACGGAGGTGTTCTAATACACGGTGGTTCGCAAGAATTGTCAGAAACGATCCAAACGAAGCCAGATTCGAGTGGGAGCGAGGCTGCAGACGAAGGGAAGGTGAAAATTGAAAAGTTCGATGGTGCGGACTTTGGCTTTTGGAAGATGCAGATTGAAGATTTTCTGTACCAGAAAAATCTATATCAACCCCTCTCAGGAAAGCAACCAGAGGGCATGAAGAATGAAGACTGGACTCTTCTTGACAGACAAGCCCTCGGAGGTATCCGACTGACGTTATCCCGCAATGTTTCTTTCAACATAGCAAAAGAAAAGACCACGGCAGGTCTTATGGCGGCTCTCTCCAGTATGTATGAGAAGCTATCAGCCTCAAACAAAGTTCATTTGATGAGGCGATTATTCAATTTGTGGATGGCGGAAAGGGCATCAGTGGCTCAACACCTAAATGAACTCAACACAATCACAACCCATTTGAGTTCAGTGGAAATTGAATTTGATGATGAAGTTCGAGCTTTAATTCTCTTATCATCTCTACCAGACAGTTGGAATGCTACTGTTACAGCAGTCAGCAGCTCGTCGGGAAATAACAAATTAAAATTCGACGATGTTCGGGATCTGGTACTGAGCGAAAAATTCGACGGAGAGAATCGGGTGAAGCATCAACCTCCTCAGCCTTGCACATGGAGTCCAGAGGGAGAACTTCAGAAAGAAATTCAAATCGTGGTAGATCGAAATCCAGACGGGGAAAATCAAGAACGGGAAAGAAAGATTTTACCTGTTATAATTGTGGCAAGAAGGGTCACTTTAAAAGGGATTGCCGAGCACTGAAGAAAGATATCGGCGCACAGGAATCTGCAAATATTACTGAGGAGACATGTGATGCCATGATTCTAAGCGTCAACAGTCCGATTGAATCATGGATCTTGGATTCAGGGGAAATTTTCCACTCTACCCTATGCCAAGAAATCATGGAGAACTATGTCAGTGGTGATTTTGGGAAGGTTCATCTAGCTGATGATGAAACCTTGAAGATCATCGGAAAAGGAGACATCCGACTAAAGCTGCCAAACCAGACTACCTGAAAGCTTACAGGAGTGAGACATATTCCTGGCCTTAAAAGAAATTTGATTTCTGTAGGACAGTTTGATGGAGAAGGATATAACACAATTTTTTCAGGATATGAATGGAAGATCACCAAAGGAGCACTCGTCATTGCTCGTGGTAAGAATACTGGTAGTCTCTATATAACCTCAAATTTAGAGAATATCATTACTGCAGCAGATGCTGATGGAAAATCAAACCTATGGCACTAAAGGCTTGGCCATATGAGTGAGAAAGGGATGAAGACACTTTTGTCAAAAAGGAAGCTGCCGAATCTAAAAAATGTAGATGCCAAACTATGCGAGGATTGCATCTTTGGCAAATAAAAGAAAGTCAGCTTTGCAAAGATTGGTAAGACACCCAAGGTAGAAAGGTTAGAGTTGGTTCATACTGATGTATGGGGACCATCTCCAGTTCCATCTCTTGCAGGCTCATTATATTATGTCACATTCATCGATGATTCTACAAGGAAGGTGTGAGTTTATTTTCTGAAGAAGAAATCAGAAGTCTTTGATACCTTCAGAAAATGGAAGGCCATGGTGGAAAATGAGACTGATCTGAAAGTCAAGCGGTTGAGGTCTGACAATGGAGGAGAGTACAGAAATCGTAGATTCAGAGATTTCTGCGCAAACAATGGGATCAAGATGGAGACAACAGTTCCTATGACACCGCAGCAGAATGGTGTAGCAGAGCGCATGAACAGAACTCTGAATGAACGTGTCAGAAGCATGAGGATACATGCCAGATTGCCCAAATTTCTATGGGCTGAAGCTATCAACACTGCATCTTACTTGATCAACCGTGGGCCCTCAGTTCCTTTGGATGGCAAAATACCGGAGGAAGTTTGGAGCAAGAAAGAAATAAACCTTTCACACTTAAGAGTGTTTGGTTGTATTTCTTATGTACACATAG